TCCACCATAGCCAACCACCTCCAACCCTTCTTCTTCCTCCATCACCTACACCCGTCCACCATAGCCAACCACCTCCAACCCTTTTTCTTCCTCCATCACCCACACCCGTCCACCATAGCCGACCACCCCCAACCTTTCTTCTTCCTCCATTACCCACACCCGTCCACCATAGCCAACGACCTCCAACCCTTCTTCTTCCTCCATCACCCACGCCCGTTCACCATAGATGACCACCCCCAACCCTTCTTCCTCCTCCATCACCCACGCCCGTCCACCATAGCCAACCACCTCCAACCCTTCATCTTCCTTCATCACGCACACCCGTCCACCATAGCCAGCCACCTCCAACCCTTCTTCTTCCTCCATTACCAACACCCATCCACCATAGCCAACCACCTCGAATCCTTCTTCATCCCCCATCACCCAAACCCGTCCACCATAGCCAACCACCTCCAACCCTTCTTCTTCCTCCATTAACCACGCCCGTCCGCCATAGCCAACCACCTCCAACCTTTTTTCTTCCTCCATCACCCACACCCGCCCACCATAGCCCGCCACCCCCAACCCTTCTTCCTCCTCCATCACCCACGCCCGTCCACCATGACCGACCACCCCCAACCCTTCTTCYTCCTCCATCACCCACGCCCGTCCACCCCCAACCCTTCTTCCTCCTCCATCACTCACCCCCATCCACCATAGCCAACCACCTCCAACCCTTCTTCTTCCTCCATCACCCACATGCGTCCACCATAGCCAACTACCTGCAACGCTAATTCTTCCTCCATCACCCACACGCGTCCACCATAGCCGACAACCCCCAACCCTTCTTCTTCCTCCATTACCCACACCCATCCACCATAGCCAACCACCTCCAACCCTTCCTCCTCGTCCATCACCCACACCCGTCCACCATAGCCAACCACCTCCAACCCTTCTTCTTCCTCCATCACCCACAGCCGTCCACCATGGCCGACCACCCCCAACCCTTCTTTTTCCTCCATCACCCACACCCGTCCACCATAGCCAACCACCTCTAACCCTTCTTTTTCCTCCATCACCCACGCCTGTCCACCATAGCCGACCACCCCCAATCCTTCTTCCTCCTTCATCACCCACGCCCGTCCGCCATAACCAACCACCTCCAACCGTTCTTCTTCCTCCATCAACCACGCCCGTCCACCATAGCCAACCACCTCCAACCCTTCTTCTTCCTCCATCACCCACGCCCGTCCACCATAGCCGACAACCCCCAACTCTTCTTCCTCCTCCATCACCCACGCCCGTCCGCCATAGCCAACCACCTCCAACCCTTCTTCTTTCTCTATCAAGCACGCCCATCCGCCATAGCCAACCACCTCTAACCCTTCTTCTTCCTCTATCACCCACGTCCGTCCACCATAGCCGACCACCCCCAACTCTTCTTCCTCCTCCATCACCGCCGCCCGTCCACCTGAAAGTCCTAAGTGGGGGGGGGGTGCAAGGGGGATACACGGGACCTCGAATAAGATCAGTTAGGGTAAGTCAATGAGCAAGGTCGATTAGGATGAGGAGTTTCTTGTCTCTCTCTCTTTCTCTCTTTCTCTCTTTTTTTTTTTCTCTCTCTCCCTCTCCCCCTCTTTTTCTCTCTCTCTTCCTCTCCCTCTCGCCCCCGTCTTCCTCCATTCCTTCAAAACTCTTTAACCCCGAACCCTTTCGTCACCCCTTCCCTCTCCATGGCATGTGACTAACCTCTATCCTCACTTGTTACATTGCGAGGGAACGAACGGAAAGGAACTTAGTCCTCACTTGGTGGAAAGCGGGGGCAAAGGAAGGGTTGCCGGTCCCTTGTGCCACCAAGAAGGAAAGGATACGGGACTATTGAGAGCATTTGCGAAAGCGAAAAGGAGTGCTGATTTTGGACGAGGTCAGTCTGACTCAACCATCCTCCCGGAATGCATGCCTGAGGCGATTGCATGGCTTGCCTGTGTGAAAGGGAAGAGAACTCATAAGGGGAATTGGAAGGCAAAGACACCTTAGGATTGCGGGAAGGGGCGATGTGTTGACCCAGATGGGGATCGTACTTGGTCACTTGTCTTGTGTGGTCTTGCGCAGGTGAGTAGCTAGGGACGATTTGGACAGGGTTGGGCTCGCGGATGAGGACTAGGGTGGGAGATTGGCTAAGGGAAGGACTTGGTTCCGGCTTAAGCCATGGATGCGGGATGAGTTGAGGCTGGATGCTTAGGTGGATGGTTGATGCATGGACTTGGTTTGTGTGGAGGTTGCATGAAATGTCTCTCTCTTGTGCAATGCGACACCTGGAAAGACTAAGGGCGGCCTTGGATAGGTGACGCGATGCTAGTGTCTCCCGTAAAAATATAGCGGCTAGGGATCCGGGCGACGCTGCCGCACTTCAAGGATGCCGACGGGGCTGCCCTGAGCCATTAGACTTAGTAAAAGGTGCGTGGCCCAATGGATGACGCTTGGCCTGCGCACAGTAAAAAGACAAACTCTCAATGAACTCCCTGGATAACTTGTGTATTAGAAGGAGCAATTGCCTGGTCAGACTTAACTGAATCGAGAAAACGCCACGAGTGCCCAAAGAGCTACCATCTTGACGCGAGAGCGGAGCTTCATCCTCCAATGTTAAACCCTCTCGCAAAAGGCCCATCCCTATCCATCTCAAAGCACTAGGTGGGGGTGCCCCTCGGACGAACGACCCGCGCCCTGACCGTGAGCGTGGGCGGGTCGAGACAATTGGGACCCGCAGTGGGGTCGACCAAGGCTCAAAAGTCCTTCAGTGTACGACCTCTACAAAAATGGTGGAGGTGCCGGGTAGTGGGTTTAACTGACTGATACGATCTCGAGGGAGGCGCCCGACGCATGACCGCGAACGTAATCGAAGATAAGGAATGAAGACTTGTGTGTGCCCTATCCCTGTGCGCGAATCAGATTTGAGGGTGGCTGCGCGCATGCCAAGGCCAGGCCTGGAGGAAGAACATGGATGCTTGCACTTTTGATCAGCCATCTCCCCTGGAGGTGACTCTAGTCCTCCTTCCTTCAGGCTGATGTTCGTCAGACCGGGGAAGCCTTGGGCATGCCGCAGATCGACCCTTCCTCTTCGTGTGAAAAAGGGGCTCCGGTTACCTGGCAGGCGGTTGGGATTCCTGGCCAGTCCGGGTTCCAATAAAAATCCCACGACGGAGCGATCCGACCGACACGGGTGCTCTCTTTCCTTTTCTCCGGAGCCCAACGGGCACCATGCACCACACTTAATGCTTGAAGAAACCTCATATGAACACAAAGGGTAATCGAAAAGGAACAATCCTACCCTATGAACGGACACACAAGCAAAGATAAGGAATGAAGGGAGTTGTTAGACTCCAAGGAGAACTAGCTCACCTTTGAAGATGCTCACGAGAAGAAACCAGGCACTATGTATGGAAGTTAGGGGTGAGTGGCACGCACTGTCCCGTGAGAAAAATTGTGAGCTATGGGTAGGAAGCGCTGGGTGCACCAGGGGGAAAGGCACTTGTGTTATGTGTGTCCCACTTGGGACTTGTGATTGCATGATTGGGATTTCGAACGTCTTGCCATTTGGAAGGAAAAGGGGGGTCTACACCGGCCACTACGGGTTGCCAAAAATCGTCCTCTTTGCAGACTGTCATTTGTTCGTATGCGGGGGTCAGGCCACCGAGCTGTCTAATGGGAGTTTATCACGCCGAGTGCTTATTAGCATTCTCGTCCGCGCGGTGATGGGCTTCGGCTCGATTGATCTGTCGGGCGGGGTGTGAAACGTTCCTCAGGCGGGGCCTAGCCTGTGGACTGGTGGAGAGAGCACCACTGCATGGAGGCAAAAACGGAGCCTGGGAGACGATCCGTAGCTTCTCGTAGCCTGGTTTGGGAAAGGTTGTTCCTTATCGGACCGATGGAAGTGAATGCCTGGACGGCTGACTCCAATGGCCTACCGAGATGTGCGGGGTGATTCCCGAGATTAACAGTGGGTACACGAGCGGCAAGTCGGGATGGGGTATTCTGGGCAAGAAGGTGAGGGCGACCCCCCACCGGAGTCTGGGTACCGCGCTCGCGACGGTTGAGCTGTGCTTGAGGTATGGGATAAAATTCTGCCGATAGTAACAGTGGAGAGACCATTTGTGAGGAAAAGGTCGGTGAGGAGATGACCGACCTGTGTGCGACGTTTGCCTGAGTTTTGCTTTTTTTGCCTCCCTCTGTAAAGTTGTCTGATGAGTGTTGCATGGGGACCGAGTTTCTAGTCTATTCTCAACCCCTGCCTAAGTCTGCACGAGTGAAAGAACATGAGGAAGAGGCTGGATAGGAGTCGGAAGAAAGTGGAACCAAGAAAAAGGAATGCGAGCGGCAGGTGATCGATTGGGGGTATGGTAGGGCAATGGCGCCTGGAAAATGGATAGGAAAAGTTAGGGGGACCCGGATGAGGGGTTTGAAAACAACTCTCATCTAGAAAAGGAAAAGCAAACCATCTGACCATGAGGGGCTGTGTGGTGCTCTCATGTGGAAAACAGGACAAGCGCCGAGGAACAGGATGGCGCGATGGTTGTCGCCTCCTGTCTACTCTAGTGGTCAGGAAATACCTATAGAGGTAAGGGATGAGGTATCTGTTGTTCTCCCGGAAGAAGGGACGAGGACCGACCTAGAATCGGCCTATGAAATCGTGATGCTGGACGAGAAGGACGCGTTCCTCTGGATAGAGACAATCTGGACTAAGGTCAGCCTGACGAGACTTTCACCTAGCTTGATGGACCTAGAATTCCGGGGAACAGTGGAAGCTCGAGGATGGGTCTACCTATCACAGGAATTGGAAAATGCAATGGTAGTGAGACTAGTATTGGGCACGGCACCGGATCAGCTGTTTAGGCAAGCGGAACGAGAAGTGGTATGGGCAGCATGTCAGCGGGCAGAAATGGAGATGGAAAGGATGGAGGTGCGAGTGGAACTCGGGGACCGGAAAAATATGAGACGTCCTCTTAGGACAATGAGGTGCGTGCTACCCCCGTTTCTGGTGGATGCAGTCTTTGAGACCAGGGATAGACTGGAACGTATATGCCAATCGATGACACGCCTGAGGCTGTACCAATGTGCTAGACATGACTTCTTTAGACTGTCGGTGGAAGCAGGGCCGTTTAAAGGAAACTAGGCGGAAAAATTAGCTGAGATGTTAAACCTCATCAGCGCGCATCAAGTCTTTGTTCCTAGTCCGGTGTATTGGCAGATAGTTTACCGAAACGTGGCAGCGCGAAAAACCTTCTTGGAAAGGGTGAAAGAGATGTTCTTAGAAGAGAAGGAGGACTTCAATGATGAGAAGGGCGGGGACAAGATAGAGGACTGGGACTTCTGAAGGGGTGGGGCTTACCTCGGGAAAACGGGTTGTCGACTATGTGCAGGTAGGGAGCGATGGCCCGGGAACTCGAATTATGGGGCTGCACATGGGAACCAAGACGAGTCGGAAGGGGAGTAGAGATGTCAATACCACTGAGCAATGAATGGAAGGGGACCACATGTGATTGGCAGGGGAATGAGATTGTGCCGGAGCTATCGTACCTATGGATAAAGCGCGTCTGGAACCCGTTGAAGGAAGAGGAAGGATGAGAAGAGATTGCGGAGGGAAGGGTGGAATCAGTCGGGATGATCGTTCTCTCTAAACAAGGTTGGCACCTGTTCTACATAACGCTCGCGGCAGGATAGAACCCAATGTGGCTTTTAGGGGACGTTGAGGCAAGGGCTCGGCAGGCGGGGGAAAGGTTTGCTAACAAAGGTTGGGATATGGTCAACAGTAGAGTCGTGATGGGAGGATGGAAAAAATTCAAACCGCCTGGCGCCCAAATCAAGACTTGGGTGCCCGAATTCGTGGCGGATTGGTTTGGGGGTTTTGATCACGTAACAAAGGTAGCCGACACGATGGAATGAATACACGTGAACTGCGCATGGCTGACAGAGGAATTCTATAGGACGTCCTTGAAATTCGGGCCCTTCCACGACGATAGAGCCCCGGAGGTTCTTATCATTTTGAAGATTGAAAGGAATGACCGACAGGAGGTGGCCCCGGAAACTAGGGAGGCCATAATCCGCCGTGAGGTGGCAGCGACACCCTGTTATGTGGATGATGTGTTCAAACTGTTCGAGGTACTGTGGTTCGACTAAGCGCAGGAAAGTCGTGGGGCCGGGCAAATATGGAAAAAATTGCTAAGATAAGGGAATGGGATGTCTGGCCATTGTAGGGTTCAGTGCGGATTGCGGGCCAAGAGATCAAAGGCGAGTGCACGATGGCGCGAAGAAGAACGTTCCTTGAGGAACGCCCCTTCGACATTAAACCGCCTAGGGAAGTACCGGGGGGGGTAGAGGTTAGCTTGCCGGCGGCAAGTGAAGGCTGGCACCAGGTGGCAGATTGGGTTGGGGTCCAGCTTCCGGACAATATGGTTTACTTGGTGACCAAAGTTGAGTGGCGTGCGAACGAGAGTGGGGAATGGAACCCGGACCCGCGGG